AAAGAATAAAATAAATATTTTATTATATTTTTATTTATCTTTTATTCTTATTTCTTTTTATTATTTATTAAATTAACACATTGGGTGTGATTATTTCAAATGAAATGAAATAAAACAAGAATGAAATATGTCCATTTTTATATTCATCATTTCATTCATTGATTGATGAAATGTTCATATTCATTTATTGATTTTATTTTATATTCTTTTTTATTTTTTATATTTCAAATAAATAATAATGAATAAAAATCATTTCATTTCAATTACAATGATTCGTTTGGGTGTGAAATGTCCTTGTTTTCCACAAAGTGCATTTGATATTCCTTTATATTCAAATAATTGTTGTTTACAATATGATTTTGTTTTATTATTTTCTTTATAAATACAAATATCACCATTTCCAAATGCAAACAAACAATTACATGATTGATTCCATAAATAAAATGCATGTTGTTGATCTTTAATATTAAATTTCATCATTCCTTTTATTCTTCCTTTTGATTTTAATGAAAATAAAAATGATTTTGGATCACTTGTCCAACAATCAACATTATTAATTTTCATATTAATATATCCTCCAAATTTATTTCCATTTTCATCTTCAATAATAATTATTATATGTTCTTTATTCATTATTCTTTTATCAAATACTGATGTGTTCTGATTCCAATTATCAATGTCTGAATCAAATACTATATTGGATACTCTTCTTTCTGTCCATTTTTCTATTTGTTTCATTTCTTCCATTGTATTCATTCCTTTCATTATTCTTAATCTTTCTCCTTCTTGTCTCTTTCTTTCTTCTTCTTGTTTCTTTCTTTTTTCTTCTTGTTTCTTCTTTTCTTTTTCTTCATCTTCATCTCTCTTCTTCCTCTCAAAATAATTACTATATTTTTTCACCCATTCTTCTTTCTTCTTGTTAAATTCTTCTGTGATTTTATCTGTTTCTTTTGGTGTTCTGAATATTTTATTTTTCATTATTACTTCTTCAATTGAAATGATTTTATTGATTATTTCATTCCGTGTTTTACTTAGTATTTCTTCATCTGAATTACATTCTTCTATTATTTTATTCATTTTGTTCTTTATTATTTCTATTGTTTTAATTGTTTCTTGACTTTTTTCTATTACTAGTTTTCTTCTTCTTTCTGTTTCATCAATCCTATCAAATATTCCTTTTCCTCTTTTAATAGCTTGTTCATACGTTTCATTTGGTTTTATTTCAAATATTTCACTTTTAATACTTCCTAAATAATAATGATATTGTTTAGTAGTATCATCAATTGATTGTTGAATATTTGGAAGTGTTTCTATTACTTCTTTAAAGAAATGAGTGTTCTTGTTTATTAACTCTTCCATTTTAATTTAATTAATATCAGATTAAAATAAGATGATTAAATACTTAAATACAGGGTTATAATAACATCATTTTATTTTTATTTTATCATATATTCTTTTATTTATTAAATTAAAAATCATTTCATTTTTATTATTTTAAATAACAATAATATATAATAAAATTAATATAAAATAATAATAATATTTAATTATTGTTATTTATCTATAATTAATTTATTTTTTATTTTCTATTTAATTTCTTATTGGATTCGAAGGTAGCACGTCAGAGACACCACACACAACACTAAAATATTTCCATCATTCAAATCTACCAGTTATGGACTGATTATGACGTTGCGTTTGGTTAGAAAAACATCTTACCCAGTACTGCAAGAATAGCAGTGTTTATTATGTACAATGACAGAATATCATTGACAATAAACGAATGGGTATTTATAAAGATGGTATTATTACTTGTTAGAATACAAGTATATTTGATAATATAAGAAAGATTATCAAAGAAAAGGGTCAAGTGGATGAGGCTAAAAGAA